AAATTACCATAAAATATAGCTCGCACTCATCATTGCATTTCATTCATCTGTTATCGTATTGTTTTAAACCAATTTCCATCAGTACAGTTCACTATTGATGGTGCATTTTTTGTTGTTTGTTGTACAATGCCCTTTTGCCTTTTTTAAATTTATTTATCTATTTACTTATTTATTTATATTAGATATTTAGAATCTTATTTTATGTAGGAATTATATAAAAAGATATTTCTGAAAACTGAATAGATTTTTTTCTTCGCTGTTACTTGTTCATAAAGAGTGTAGAAGTATCGTGTTAATGTTGTGTTGTACGTCAAGTCTGGCAGACTTTTATTTTTTTCACTTAGTGTAGCATGTGCAGCACTGTTTTCTAATAGTAAACAGTAAAAACGCATACTTGTGTAAAATATAAACAAATGCATATCAGTTTGTAACATCTTTCGTTATTGAGTGAAATTTGTAATAATATATTTTCAATAGTTACCCGTGAAATGTGAAGTGAGATATGTACTGATTATGAAAATTTCGTTTGACAAAAATAAAAACCATGAAGCGAAATGAGTTTATATGAAATTATGTTAGCTAAGGAACTGTGCAAGTAATCTTAACTTAGATATTTTTAATTCCTATCTTAAAGATGACCCTAACAGCGCATGTGGTTTTCCTGTAGAATATTGTGCTCACTTCTTCCCTCAGTGTTATTTTTATACTAATCAAACAATTTCCCTTTAACTCCCTTTCTGCCCTTAATTATGCTTTTCTACTTACTGTTTAAACCTTTCTACATGACTGTCCTAATTTTGATGAAAACACCAATATATCTATTGTGAAATTAGTTTACCGATTCATTAGTGATAGCATTTATTAGATAATTACGTTGTATCCATGTTGCCACAAATTTTGTTCTAGTATCGATCGGCACAGTTCGACAAATTCTCTGTGTTGACCTATTGACCACGTCTGAGGAACGGACTGATATTTGTGATCACTCTTATAAATTAAGAAAAATGTACAGCAAATTGATAAAAAAAGTTTAGTAGTCATAATTCACTTTTCATTTCTCACATTTCATCACTATATGCTATATCATAATTGTTATACAGATATCTTGATTCATCTTTGTGTACTTTTGTAAATAACTTTAAATGCATACGTTTATTTTTCTAAGCAGCTGGCTTTCATAGGCTTCGCCTGCGGACAATCGTTTGGATATCGATCCTAGAAATACAAGTATACTGAAATGAAAAGAAAAATATGTGAAAATTGCAAATCCATTATACAGATGAAACTCAAAAAATTTAAGTTATCACTTGAATGATGTTAACTTTAATGCAAAATAAGAAAAACGAACCCGTTATTGAATACATGTATTGACAGTAAACAGTCAAACGTGAGTTTCAAATTGGTTTTTTGTTTATTTGCCCGTGAACAGCCTGGTTCATTGTGATCACATTGTAGCAGGTGGTGACTATATCACAATATAAGGCAAAGTTGTAAACGACCGGTCCTTTAAGCCGGATCTCACAAAGTAGGAGGAAACAAGAACATCAGTAACAACGGTAGATATGTACACAACATCCACCTCTGTTAACGTTTAGATAAAATTAATACTTCCCGTTTGATATTTAAGCTTGATTTAAGTATTTTTTAAGTTGTGTTCGGTATTCGATAACAATCGGCATAATGTAACAAAATCTGTAATTTTGTTTAAGAGATTTAGAGGTAAGTCGGTACTTCAACATAGGGATAAAGTGTGGTTTTTGATTTTGCGCTAATGCATGTTTTCAATCTTTAGGGAAAAAAACGATTCATTGTTATTTTCAAAATGCTAGTTATTTTTATGGCTGTTTAATGTTGACCACATCCTGTCGTGATATTTAAGGATTATTTCTTATTTCTGTAGCTGCATCGAATTGTTTTTTACATTGGGGTAAGTACATAACGCGCACCAAATTAAATATGTACTTACCCCAATGTAAATATAATTCGATGCAGCTACAGAAAATAAGAAACAATCCTTATACTTACACTTGGTCACTTTGAAATTAAAGGACCTCTTTCACGAACAATTGAATTTTGCCCACGACCCGATTTAATCCAAACCATGTTGCATTTATAGCACCCCAATACACCCCGCGGAAATAACACTTAAAATTTTCAAAAGGCCCATAGGGCCTGAATTATTATAGAATTTGTGGCATTAACTGAGGGTATAAGGTAAGGTTAAGAAATGGCTCCATAACAAGGCAAGGGTTCATCGCAAAGCTTCTTATAACCACTTATTTTGTTCATTGGAATCTTTTTGTCATATTAAGCAAACATTATTTGTCAAATCTGGCATAAGAAAAAAGTTACGATCAATTAAATAAAGAAAAATGTGTTTTTTTTTCTTGATTTTTAGAACAAAGTTTGATCTTAGTAGGAGTGTTTCAAACTTTTCCGGTTTCGTGCACCCAAGCGCTTTTAATATAATTTGGCCCCTATTATTTACTGTTCTTAGCCGAAAAATTTTAAAAAATTCGTGACCGAACGTGACATCATGTGATTGATATGATGTTATGATGTATTTCTTATCTTTGATTTTGTTCTTCAAAATATGAAACAGAGATAAAGACATTTTAGAGATGACATTGGATATAAAAACATCTTTGTAAGTAAAATAAGAGGCCTGGAGGGCCCGTATTAGTGCTTTAGATCAAGTCTCTTAGAAAACATATTCAGTATGCACAGTAAAGTTACACATTTCGTTATGAACATCTACTAAGTAGGATCTTCAAGTTGGTGGCCACAAGTACAGGCAGCGTTGTCATTAAGGTGGTAATTCAATAAGTCAAAATTCAGATTACTTGCAGTTTCTTAGGTGACACAAGATTATGTTTGCCGTTCTGTTTCCGTTATATTTAAAAGTGTCCGTGTATTATAAGAGAGGATTGATAACAGGCTATGACAAAAATGTGTTTTTTATTGCATAAATATATGTCAATGAGGGAAACAGACAAGATGGGTCATTCCATTCGGTCATGAGTTTTGTAAAGAAACTAGTGCTATATTGACGAGTTCTTGCAAGGGGCACATCAAACAACCTATTGAGTCGAAGAGGATAATGAGCAATATCATTGTTGATAAAAGGCTGGATAGAATCAGATACATGAGGAGGACATCTGTTATTTAAATCTTAAGAAATGGACATTTTGATGTAGGTGTCTTCTTTTAGTTAATGGTATTAATCTAGACTCATTATAAAGGTTAGCATGACTGGTGCCCCGTCTAAGGCAAGTAGTAATGGTATTGCCTCTAATTGAACTGATTCTAAGATGTTGCATTCCCCTTCTGTGCAGTTAGACCAAACAATATCAGCACATTCTAAAATAGGTCGAATAAATGTAATATGTATTAATTCAAGTGACTTTCTGTCAATTTTCTACTTTTATGGTTGGACCAATTACATGACTGTTAAAAATTAGACCCAAGTGCTTATGACAGGTAACATTTTTTAATAACTGAGTTATTAAAATACAGGTTTGGATGCAACATCTTAGAATATATTCTTGTAGGAATTCATTCTTTTCTGGATTAAAATAATACTCCACCTACTGGCTCATCTAGAAATTTTTTGGAGATCATCATTTAGTATATCAGCCGCATATTGCCTGTCATCGTTAATTAGGCCATATAAAGATGTGTCATCAGCAAATAATTTCACATTAGATAGTAAATTATCACCAATATCATTATCATAGAGCAAGAACAGACAAGGAACAAGAACTGAACCTTGTGGGACCCAGCCTGTAAAGTTTCCAGTTGGACTTGAACCCATCTAGGACCACTCTCTGTCTCCTGTCAGATAAATAAGTTGATTAACAGTAGAATATTTTGGTAAGAAACCTGATTGGTTTCTAGAGATAATATTGCGTCTTGAAAGATAATTATACAAATATTTGAAAACAATCTTATCAAGAATTTTACGGAAGATAGAAGGCCTATAGTTGGAGGGGTCACTTTTTTCCTCATTTTCTGTTATATAGAGGTGTTACATGGGCATTTTTCTAGAAGGTAGGAAGTACCCCTGCAGAGATAGAGTTATTAAACATTATAGCGAGAGGTTTAACAAGGGCTTGAGATACTTATTTTATGAATTTGGGAGGGATGGAATCAAGGCCTGCAGGTTTGTTAGTATTTAGAATCTTAAGTTGGTCAATAATGTCCTGTTCAATTATGTTGATAGAAGAGAAATTATTAATTGGTGGGGGTAATCAGGTGGTAAATCGTCAGCATTCTTGTCTGTCACTGAAATAGATGTGAAGTAACCATTGAAAGATTCAGCTTTATCTACAGTATGTATTTTCAGATCACCATTAATTATCAGTCAGGACAGAATGGCAATTGTCTGCATGCTAATTGATAATATTTTGAAATAAGAAAGAATTTGCTATATAATTGATCTTATCGCATTACAAGGTGGTTTGATAAACTTTAAAGGATATAAAACTGTGCACCAAAGTAGAATGAAATGAAGGTCTGTGATATAACTCCATGTCTTAACAGGCCAAAAGCTATGAAAACGTTTCAAGGACCATTAGATGTTCTCTGTATTCATTAGCAAACACGTACGCATTTTGTAAGCACTCGGTAGACGTGTATGTGATTTAGAAATAGTGTTGCCTGTTTGCGAAATAATATGTTCAATACGTATTGTCCTAAAACTTATGTCTCGTTTTTAAAGTGCAATAGTTGAACAAATGTAACGGAAAAGTATTCAGATAATTGATATGGAATGTGATTCATGTTGAGTTTCAAACATTGGCCCGAAGCAAAACTGACGAGTTTCCGACTGACGAAACAGCTCCACTCTAATTCTAAATTTGGGTGTTTTTTGTACATATATCAAGAATATGATATCGTTTATATTTTACCTGTTTGCAATCATACAAAACATAATGCAATATGTTAATCGTTTAATCAGTACCTTCTCATTTTTTGACATTTGTTACAGACACAACAGTATGGTTAGGCAATGGAAGACCCTTCCAATCCTGTTTGGCATTACGCTTGGATTTTTTGTGGCCTACAAAGTGACGCGTGTATCAGAAAACAAAACAAGTTTCACCGATTCATATAGATATCCTGTTAGATATTGTGAAACTAACCAATCCTACGTGGATTTTGGCAGCGAAAATATACTTACATCCTATCAAAAAGTGAATGTTGAAAAGTGTATGGAGACGTATCAAGCGGAACATGGAAGAGCTATTATGGAGGAGAGAAAGAATAGGTCAATTCGGTACACAAGTCATTCCTACCTTAATCGAAACAGTGTCATTATCGAAGCTGGTGGACATCTTGGTGTTGACACAGACCAATTTAATAATCGATACCATCCCAGTTTATATATTGTTTTAGAACCAGTTCCCAAATTTTATAATGCGTTATTGGAAAAATTTAAATCGTCTCCAAACGTAAATATTAATAACTTCGGAATTGATGTCAATGATGGTGTGTATTATATCAAAGAGTCAAGAAATGATGCAGTTTCAATATTCGAAGCCGGTAATCAGAAGGGTGAGAGAATAGAGATTAGAAATGTTAAACAGTTCTTCGAGAAACTATCAGTGCGGAGCGGTGAAGTGGACTTAATCACTCTAAACTGTGAGGGCTGTGAATACGCAGTACTGGACCTTCTCCTCTCTACTGACTACATACGTCACTTCCGGAATATCCAATTCCAGCCTCATAGGATCTCAGGAATATGCTATCCTGTCAAACGTTTCTGTTGGTACCAGGAACTTCTGAAAAAAACACACAAACTTTCATTCCAATTTAAATTTGTATGGGAGAGTTGGACGAGAATATAACTACTATGTATTTTATGACAATACAATTCGGTTGACAAAAATATTTGTAAGCAAATTACATGTTAAGCTGGGCTATATTTTTTACTTTAATTATCACGCTCAAAGATTATAGAACATGTTGTATTATCTATTTCAGTAATAGTTTTAAAATTTCAAACTAGCATAAGATATAATTTGAAGGACAATCGTACATGTAGCACTCATAGTCACAACTAAAAGTGAAGTATATGGTTATGACTGTCTGTTTGGCAGATTTTGTAGATTAATCTACATCCTGTATGAACACTAAGGGGCTTCTTTAGTATTTGGTATTTGATCTTAAAGATGTCCGTCTCTCAAACAAATCATGAAATCTGATAATATTATTCTATGATACTATTTACAAGTTTACATATGATTATGGAAGTGAAAAAGAGTGATTTTATTTACATTTTTCTTTAGATCTTTTTGGGTTCATTCAAGCTTAGGTGACTTGGTAGGAAACGGATGTCAATGAGTTACGAGTATGAAAATATATATCTTATAAGGGATATATCCGAGCTATAACCGCTAGGTATAGCTATTTGTTGTGGCTTTGAGCGTTCACAAAGTGGTGTCTTATTTAGCCGTTGAAAGCCATTTAAACATTATATGATAACTAAATGTATATCTTACACATTACTTTTGACAAATTATTGTTTGATGTGTTAAAGTTCAAAGCTTGGATTAATTTAAAGAAATATAATTGTTGTTAATTGCACTCAATTGGATATAAAAGCAACAAGAAAATATCAACTCTAGAACAAAATTACCACCAAAATTCATATTTCTATAAGAGTAGGCCAAATTATGAACAAAAGAAGAGCATTAAATTGTAGCTAACTCCGTATCTACAGAACCTTACAGAATGTGTTGACATTAAATTGTAGCTAACTCCGTACATACTGAACCTTACAGAATGTGTTGACATTAAATTGTAGCTAACTCCGTACATACAGAACCTTACAGAATGTGTTGACATTAAATTGTAGCTAACTCCGTACATACTGAACCTTACAGAATGTGTTGACATTAAATTGTAGCTAACTCCGTACATACTGAACCTTACAGAATGTGTTGACATTAAATTGTAGCTAAGTCCGTACATACAGAACCTTACAGAATGTGTTGACATTAAATTGTAGCTAACTCCGTAGACATTAAATTGTAGCTAACTCCGTATATACAGAACCTTACAGAATGTGTTGACATTAAATTGTAGCTAACTCCGTATATACAGAACCTTACAGAATGTGTTGACGTTAAATTGTTACATACAGAACTATAAAAAAATGTGTTGGCGCTAAATTGTAGCTAAGTACGTACAAAGAGATGTTTACATAATGTGTTGACCTTAGATTAAAACTAACTACGTGCATACTTTTCTTTACAAAATATGTTGATGTTAAATTAAGAGAAAATTATTTTACTATCTGAGATATGTTATTTGCTTCTTGACGTCGAAATGTGTAGGCATGCTTGACTTTTGATTTCTGTAAACAATAGCTGATGTAAATGATTTAATGCTAATGTAGGTAATGAGTATCAATGTATTGGGAATTTGTTGAATATCTCTGATCTACAACTTGATCCAAAGCAACTAGTTTGTGTAAATAATTTGAAGTCAACAAGTTTGAATAGTTCAGATGCTTCATGTTTATGCGAGATTTTCGGCGAATTTTTGCAAATCAAACTTAGTCTTACCTTACGTGAAGAACTATATTAAATCCGTAGTACTGTAATTACATATTATATATATATAAATATATAGAATCTAGTAAGCAATATTGTTCATTAGATGCGCATTACTAGGATATATAACAGCAATACATTTTTCTCATATGTAATTTGATTTTATGAATAATGCAAATGTAAATTATGTATTTGACACTACATGCACATGCATATTTGAACTTAGACATTGGACTATTCTGGGTTAAAACTCCAAAGATTATAAAATTGAAACATCAAAGTTCTCAATACAAAATGTGATAATATTATCTAGTTAACTGATAGGGAAAATCAAATTAGTCTTTGATTACACAGTCAGATTTCATGTTTGCGTATTGCTACCAAGATTACACGGAGTAGCAATGCCCCTAAATGTAGCATCTGAACTACACCACCATTATGAAGTCCAGAAATTGATTGTTATCCAGCTACTTGACCAGCAAGAAGCAGTAGGTCAGACTTAGGTCCGAATGTGTGACTGGCTGAACGTACTGAACAGACTAAAACTTTATATGTGTATCAATTGCATTTTTTGAAATATGTATATTAAGTCATCCATATTATATAATTCTGCTGATGACATACTGTAAGTGACCCAAATATACTTACCAAAGCTCCCAAGTCTAATCTGGAATTTGATATTCTAAGACTTAGGTTTAAAAAATCGCGGAAAAATAATTTAATGATACTTTATTTTAGTATTGGTGGTGTTGTTATCAAATAAAAAAAGAGGTTTAAAATTTATTCTGTTTAACCAAGAAGGGACGAAATGTTATTGACGTTAATTTATTTTTTTCATTTTCATTTTATTTATCTAAATGCTGTCGTTTTGTATGAGACTTTAGATAAACTTTATTGCGCTTTATTGTGAAATACATACTCTTACATTGTATGAGAGCGTGAATTGATGTATGTATAGGCTTGTTTTTTTTATATATTTCAAAGGACTAGGTATGATAGGGTAAATTTTTGGCAAACCTCATATTTCCATAATTGTTGTACTCTTGGATATCTAAAATCTGTATCTCCCAACAAATCAAATATCTGTGTAAAGTACTTCTTAAGATACAAAAGAAGTTTTCAACCACGTTAGAAATTACAGAATTTTAGGGTGAAATTACGAATTGATGAAGTCACGTAAAATGTGAAATGCTGATAACGAAGGTCAATTTCAGCTCTTATCCTACCAAGTCCTTTATTTATGTACAACAACTGGGAAGCATCAAATTATTATACAATACAATTAGTATTTCTCGAAGTATTTTTGTTTTTTGTCTAATGCGGTGTTGGTTCTTACATATCACTGAATAAATATGCTTTATCATTTTCTGTACTGTTGTGATATACATGCATGATTTCCAAACAAACAGTTTCATCAATTCTTAACATTATATAGAGTATATAAGTGAATCATACCCGATGTTCATCTCTGTGATTTACTGGACTGTTATTACGTAAGTTTTAAATGTTATACATGCAGACACGGGTTCAATTACTACTGGATATATCATTAGAGATATATCACCTAAGACTAGACCAAGATAACATAAACACTCCTCATTTACAGACTGACTGCTGATTATATCAACAGAGATTTATAACCTAAGACTAGACTAAGATCAACACTCTTCATTTACAGAACTGACAACTGAATATATCACCAGAGATATACAGCCTTAAACAAGACTAAGATAAACTACCCTCATTTACAGAACTGACAACTGAATATATCACCAGAGATATACAGCCTTAAACTAGACTAAGATAAACTACCCTCATTTACAGAACTGACAACTGAATATATTAGCAGAGATACACAGCCTTAAACTAGACTAAGATAAACTACCCTCATTTACAGAACTGACAACTGAATATATCAGCAGAGATATACAGCATTAAACTAGACTAAGATAAACTACCCTCATTTACAGAACTGACAACTGAATATATCAGCAGAGATATACAGCATTAAACTAGACTAAGATAAACTACCCTCATTTACAGAACTGACAACTGAACATATCAGCAGAGATATACAGCCTTAAACTAGACTAAGATAAACTACCCTCATTTACAGAACTGACAACTGAATATATTAGCAGAGATATACAGCATTAAACTAGACTAAGATAAACTACCCTCATTTACAGAACTGACAACTGAATATATCAGCAGAGATATACAGCCTTAAACTAGAGGAAGATAAATTACCCTCATTTACAGAACTGACTACTGAATATATCAGTAGAGATATACAGCCGTAAACTAGAAGAAGATAAATTACCCTCATTTACAGAACTGACTACTGAATATATCAGCAGAGACATGTAACATACCATTTGTTTTAACACACAATCCTTGCCACATCAATATGATCCAGACAGCAAAGTACGCTATCCCTTTGTTACATGAAAATGAAAAAAAAAAAAAAAAAAAATGCAGAACCCGAGGCTTTCCTGTGGAACCTCCCGGTATGAGAATTAACGCATTGAGGTACTTGACTCAGTGTTGTGGTCTCTCTGAACACATCTGCTTGAACATCTGCTTCAAGGTACTTTTTGACGAGGCCGTTGCACATTGGATGATACGGAGTGATTGTCAACTAACGGAAAGATAAAAGAGGACTCACTTCACGTTTTCGGCTACTCACTCTGTTTCAATCCCTTTCATAGCTATTGCCTCGGACAACGCGTTGCATAATCAACGATGTTCATAACATATCTGTTTCCGCGATTGGTTGCAGGGTGATAGGACCAAGAAAACTCCATCATAATCCTGTCCTGAGTTTTCGTTATTCAAGATGATCAGACATCATAGATTCGTGTGCTAAACGAAGAACATTCTTCCGTTTAGTCGGAACTACCAGTTGTTTAAAAGTCCCACCGTTTGCAGCTGCTGGACTTTGATACTCATGGTATATCAGACCGTGATCTTAGTAAAACCTAGACGTCCCTCCATCTCATCGTTTCTTGACCTCATTGCTGATTACAAAATCTCTTATCTTGAGCAAACTCTCGTTCTCCTGCTGAGCTAACTTGACATCACAAGGCTGGACCTCATTTAAAACCTTAAGGGCACGATAGGGAAATTCTTCCCTCTTCCGTTGAGCTCTAGTTTCCACGGCAGATATATGTTCCATTTTTTTGTTCCAGTTGGGATTTTGTTCATCTGGCGCCCAAGCTCCTCAATGTTTCCAAGGATAAGGTCCTATACCGGTGTCTCCATACACTAAGGTACCACAGGACCGACAT